CTTCTAGGTCACATCATAGGTATTTTTCTTTCTTTCTTTCCTTATGCTTGAAATATTTTATGAAAGATTCTCCTTCCAAGTAACCGATACATATGCAATGTTTTATCTATTCATTCGTTTGTTCATTCATTCGTTTTTTTTTTTGTTTTTTTTGTTTTTTTTTTTTTTTCAACCTATTTTGGTGCATATACGACCAGAGTTCAAAATCTACATTTGTTTAACAGTTTGATATAAGAAATATTCGAAAAGTAATTTTGTTTCTTACTCATTTTGTTTCGCGGGCGGGGGGCTTGAAGAAGGAGAGCGTATACACACCTATCATTTTTATATAAATAGTGTGTATGCGCGTATCTGTATGGATATATATATATATATATATATATATATATATATATATATATATATATATATATATTATATATTCACGTTTCATTAGACAATATAGACAAGTGTTGTCTATTTTATGTAATTTTTTTTTCGTATATTATTAATGAAACGTGTATGAATGAAAAGATGCTGCCTAAATACACACAGTATATATATATGTGTGTGTGTGTGTGTGTGTGTGTGTGTGTGTGTAGATAGATAGATAGATAGATAGATAGATAGATAATATTAGTGGACAATATATATATATATATATATATATATATATATATATATATATATATAGACAGAGAGAGAGAGAGAGTTGGATTGATGTGAGTTTGTGACCGTGGGTTTCACGCTTTTGCGATCGATAGACAAACAGTTTGTCTGACGATCGCAAAAGCGTGAAAACAGGGTCTAAACTCACATCAATCCAACTAAATATGTTAGCTCTATCACTGATATTGAGCGCTTTCCAATAAGTACCGCGCATATATAATATATAAATAATATATATAATAAATTGCATACATATATATTTTTTTCTGAATGTAAAAATAAAGAAAAAGTGTGTAAGACAATAAGAAACACTACCTGCCAAAAAAAAAAAAATGAAGTTTTGTTGAAATCAGTTGAAAAATCTAGGAAATCCGATCCCATATATAAACGGACACACCCACAACCTAGGTTTTATAATAAGTATAACTCGATATGAGTTGTCCCCCTTTCATTCTGCGAAAGCGATGCCTCTTAATCGTGTTTTCAAATTGATTTCGTGCAAAAACAATTGTGTTTTTCCAATTTTTGGCGCTGTTAGAACCACCGCAAGATAATTTTACGTAGTCCTGTGAAGTTTTCTTGGAATCGGTTGAAAAATGTAGGGTTTTATAATAAGTATGATTACATTTTAATTTTAAAATTCGCAGGATTTTTCAAATTGTTTACGGCATCAGCTTGTAGTGGAATACTAGCTAGTTGGGAAGAAAAAGAGAGGGAGGGCGTTAAAAGGGACATGTTGGGAGATATGGCAGAAGAAGGCACCGTTACAGGAATTATATTATGGAGGTAAGGTAGGGGAGAGAAGGGGAAACCGATGAGCTGACCTACATCCTAATTGTCACCCGGCCAATGTTTAATTCAACGGTAATTCACGGAACTTAACGAAAACGTGAACAAACAATCAAGAAGTAGATTTAGTAAGATGAATGAGAGATGATTCAGAATGATTGGTGTATTCGAACCCATTACATTCACATACGGACTAATACGCTTGGGAAAGCTATGAATCCTCTTCTTCTGCAGTTATGGGTAAATAGTAGGACAGACTGGGTCTGGTCAACCGCAGAGAGAAATGGCAACCTACTGCGGGAAAAATTCTGCCTCGTAAGTCATGTATCGAAAGATACATGATCGCCTCAGCGTGTATCATGTATGACACATAACTGATTGAAACTCGTCCATATATCAGAACTCTAAGTTTGGGGGAGTGTATTCAAAGATTTGGAGGGAATTTGGATACTCATGCGTACCCATGTGTTCGTCCACGCTAAGAATATCTCTACTCGTGTAGCCAACTATTTTTACATACGCTTAGATACCCACGTCTATGCACATACATAGATATGCTAGCCGTATCTATGAATACCCTATGTTAAGATAAAATATTTTCGAAGGATAATGAAAGGAGTTTAGTTAGAAAAACCTGAGCATTATCTCAACCGTAATGTGACGGAATTATAAGACAAAAATGAAAACGAATTATTGTTAGGTACGAATGCATAATCATTAATTATTTCGCTAGATATATATTCCAAGGTCACTTCTTCAACTGGTAATCTAATATGTATCGGTAAGTAACCTTTTAAAAGCTACCAATTAAATTCATATATTAACGTACGTACCAGATGTTAAATATTAGAAAGGCTCATGATGATAGTAAAATTTGCTTACTTAAGACTGGATATACTAAATGGTTTATAATAATTATATATAGGATATAAGGCTTACTTTTTTATATATATATATATATATATATATATATATATATATATATATATATATATATATATAAGACATTTAAAACAACATGTCTACCCGCGTACTCAATTCCGGAAAATCCTTGTTTTACAACACAACTATACTTAAACATGAAAACAATAAACAAAAATTTTAAATTCTTAAAGCTTTATACATAAAACGGTTGAAACCTAATCTGAACAAAATAAACTATAAAATCTCCACAAATATCCTTAAATGCCTATAATTTATAACAGAAACCATAGGTTTATACCAACGGCTTCCCATACTTAATACTTCTCGTTTTCACTCTCGTGTGGTCATGTATGACGTCACGAGCTGCTACGCGATTTTCGCATCCGCGTCTTGTATATACGAGTTTGTCGTTACTTGGAAATTTTCATGCAGCAAGGGCTGACTATCATTGTTGTTTCGTCCATGTGTTATTTCATTTATTAAAATTGTCATTTTGAACGTAATTGAATGTAATGTATTCGACTGGAATTCGAACTCGGCTCTCCGATTCCTTAATCCAAGCCGCTATCTAGTACTCCACCGTGCCTCCTCTTCTAAATATAATGAGAACGAAAATAATATATAAATTTTAACGTTCACAGCATTAATTCAAAAGAGGACTCAATACCGATAGTAGAGCAATAACTATTTATTATAATTTTTTCATATAGACAAAAACACGAAGTTGAATCTTTGTAGTGAGTAAATTGTTTTTTGTCATTTAGACACACACACACACACATATATATATATATATATATATATATATATATATATATATATATATATATATATATATATATATATATGTGTGTGTGTGTATGTGTGTGTAAGTGTGTGTGTGTGTAAGTGTGTGTAAATATATAGAAAAATAGAGAAGAACAGTAAGGTTAATAATCCGAAGTTCTTTAGTATTTTTGTTTTTATTTTTAAAAACTGTGCTCAATACATAAGTAGAGCCTAAACTAATATATTGATACAATAGTTTTCAGTGAAAATGTTAAGCGTTACGCCCCTTATTAAAACAATTTGTTTCGCCGTTTCCATAGTAATTAATATTACGAATGTATATGCTTATAAAGCTCCGTAAATTTCACGATTAGTTATTCCAAAATTCGCTTGAGAATGAAACAAGGCTAGATACTTTAATTCAATTTAAAGTTTTTAGCTTCAGGTTTTGAAACATGAGAACTATGTTGTATGGGAAGTTGGGAAAAACGGAAACAGGATTTTCAGTTGTTTTTCTTCTTCTTCTTCTTCTTCTTCTTCTTCTTCTTCTTCTTCTTCTAAATACAACCAAAATACACTAAATAATATGAAAATACGAAAAACGTCACAGCTACCGAAACAATTAAAGGATTGTTGAAACTTGACTAATGCATGGAATAATAATGCAACACAAAATGTACTAAGAACAAAATGTATTGAAACAAGAAAATGTACACAATATTTACATATAGTCTTTTGTATATTCCTGGTAAGACCGTTCCTGGAGAATGTGTTGACTGAGTCGCAGTCGGGCAGAGTCTCTGGTTGAATCTCTTGATTCCTCCCTCTCTTCCCGGTACCAACCATATTTATATGGTCGGTACTCCACTATGCAAATTAGGTGGATCCTACCACAACAAGGATAATAGAGAACAATATAAACTCATAAACAAAAATGATCAGAACTCATCTTCAAATGCAGACACGAAAAACAATTCCTACTACGCTACCCATAACCACAACCATGATTCATAATATCTTATAACGTAATTCTAATAAAATTTATTTAAAATGACAAAATTTTAAACAAAGAAAATATATAAAAATAAATGAAAGTATCAAATTGATTCGGGGCAGCTTGAGTCCGATAACTGGATGCATTATCAAACTGGAATAACCCCTCATCGTTGAGATACATGGCGTCTATGAATGGAGGGAATTAACAAAAATGATCTGTTATAATCTGTGGAATGGACATACGAAGTACTAACATATATATATATATATATATTTGGGAAATAATCCTTCTTTCATATATGTTTCAGTGAACACGTTAAACAAAGAATATTTTGTAAGTTTTTATATTGTATTTTAGCGTCCATACAATTTTTCAATGAAATATATACAGGATGTTTCACAATTTTTGAAACAAAATGATTTGGCACAAATAAAGGACTACAAATGATAGAGTAATGCTAATTACCTTTATGGAAAGATAAAACGATAAAATTTTAGGATCTGCAATCATTTAGTCTCAAACGGACCAAAAAAGGTCAAGATGAGCCCGAGAGAACATACTCCAGATGTCCGCCCTTTAGTTGAAGGCACTGTTGAATGCGGCACGCAAAGTTGTTGATAACGCGTTTACATTCCTCCTGGTGAGGAACCCGTTGTCCTACGATCTTTACAAGTGCAAAAAGCTTCACAGTTCTTAACCAACTTGAAAATCTGACCAAATAGACGACAATATAAGTAACAGAGCAATATAATAATAATAAATATAGAAAATCCTTACAAATCCATTTTGGTTATAATTTATTTCATCAATATATTTAAGGTTTTTTAGAAATTAACTCAATCCGTCCTTCATTCTGTCTTTGCTTGACCATTAG